AAATTTGGCTGTGGAATACACAAATGATGATGATCTCAAGGATCTGACTTCAAAGTGGTAGGGATTTTTTGAGTATAATAGGGAAAATTAAACCTATCTTCATACTGAAAAATTGTCTATAATGTATTTCTTAACTATGTCAAAATAATGCTCTGCTGCCCTAACTCAATGATATTTAATCCCCTGGTGTCTTTGTTTATAGTTTTTTGTTAATACTTGTTTGTATATAGTGTTTTGTACATAATGACTCTGCTCAGGGCACGCCAAAAGCCACTTATTGTAAGATAAGGATTTAACACGACATATTCTTCTCCTTCCCAGGACTGTCAGGTTCTGTTTCCACAGACAGGTTATCTGGTTTCCCACTCCAAGCCAGCCCGCTGTAAGATCCTCCCCTGAGTTCAGCAACAACAGTGTCTTCCATCTGTTTGTACAGACTTTGGCTTACAATTGTTATCCCACTTTCTCATGTCAGTCCTATTCCCACTGGGTGTCTCAATAATCTCTGTGGATAGACTTGCTGTCCTATTCTCAAACCTGACCTATGTTCCTATGAGGGCTTTTGTGAAGATAAAATGAGTTGAAATATGTTTAAAAAAAAAAAAACAAACCTTTGAGCAAGTTAAAGGGGATATTACAAAGGTAAGGTATAGAATAGCACTATAGTATTTGCAGTTTTAGATGCTCTTACTGTAAGAATAGCATTTGTATGCTGCTGGCTTGTTCTATGTGAAGAAAGGGGGTCTCTAGAACTATAACCAGAGAGTGGGATCACAGGAGGTGAAGGATACTGTTTTAGTGGCCATTGGCCAAGTCTGATATCTGTGAAATTCAGAATGATGCTGGGAAATGATGTGGGGCAGACTAAAGCATAGTAAACTTTAAATAACATCTATAATCTTTTGACCTAACGGTGACTTCCATACTTTGCATACTGTGTGATACTTTGCATAATGACAATTTTAAGCTGCATGCCAAACTGAGCAATCCCCACAGGATCCCTCTCCGTCTACTCAGGCAGCATAAGATGCATCCATTTGGTTCCCTCTTCAGCATCTCTTTAGATAAAGGGTTTCTGTGATTTGTCTCATTCTTCTGTTTGGGGGGGTTTACCATATTGCCTAAAAGGAATAACAGTCCAACACCAAAGGAAAGAAAGTGAGGAAAACAGAAAGTGAGACAGAGCAGGAATAAGTCAAAGAAAGGAGATACTGGACCAATGCCAGCATCCACTCACTTCCTCAGACTGAAAAGATAGAATGGTTATTTCTCTGATTTAAGTTAGTAGATTACAGGGTCATAGATTTAGAGCTGGAAATGACCTCAGAGGCCAACCTCCTTATTGTTTATAAATTAGGAAAATGAGACTCAGAGAAATTCAATGATTTGCCCAAGGTCATTTTATAATTTACTAGTTGACTTTTGAGAGTAGCTACGAACCCCAAATTCATTACCCTGCAGCATTTATTAAGTACCTTCTATATACCAGGTACTGCCTAGGGACTGGCCATACAAATACAAAGGAAGACATATGCCTACTGACAAAGGGCTGGGAAAGAACCTCCCCAAACTAAGCTAGGCCAGGGGCAGCTAGCAGTGGATACAGCACTGGCCCTGAAGTCAGGAGTTCAAATCCGGCCTCAGACCAAACACTTGACACTTACTAGCTGTGTGACCCTGGGCAAGTCACTTAACTGACTAAAAAAACAAACAAACAAACAAAAAACAAACTAAGCTAGGCCACTCTTTGGACAACAGACTTTCAGTCCATCTTGGAGGCTATACCCGAAGTCTTTCCAAATTTGTGCTCAATTAGTACAGCTTTTGAGAATCCAGAGTCACCTTGACATCATAATAAGATATAAAAGAACATTAGTGCAAACTATGCCTCTGATGAATCAAACATCAAATGAGGAAAATAAGGACATGCTCTTTTTATCTTTTTTAAAAAATTTTCTTATTCTAAACTTAAACATCAAATAAATGGGCATTTCCATATAAGTAGAAGAGAAAAAGAGAATTGTACATGATACTGCAGATTTCCATTACGTATGTCTGGCTTCAGTTTTTAAGAATAAGTTCAACCTGTAGCTTTCATAGCTGTCCTGCTTGTCTGTGCTTCTTTATGGCCTTCAATAGGATACATTCTCAATGGACCAATATAGGGGACTGAATTGACTCCCCATCCCTTCAATAAGCCTGTGCTTTCCCAATTCTCTACTTCTGTTCAAGCTGTTATGTCCATCTAGAACATCCTGCCTCTCCTTCCATGCCTAGTTCAAATCTTATCTTTGACAGGAAGCTTTTCCTGGTGGCCATACCCTGAATTTCTATAGCTCTTATACTTACCTGTTGCTTGATATATTCATATGCATTTATCTTATCTCTACCCAAACCACAAGTTTCTTAAAGGAGCTAGTCACTCTCTTATAGTTTTTTTTTTAAATATGTTCCATACCAGCGCTTTTCAAAGCAACCCTTAGTATCTATTAATCAACTGCAGTACTATTTGAAGTTTAATTTAATTGTTGCTGAGTCATTTGCCCAGAATATCACAACCTCCTAGATGAGATCCTTAGCCACTCAAAAGAATTTGGCCTATTTATCCGCAAAGGAAAAGTCAAATAGAGAATGCCCACTATCTGGATTATGACACATAGTCAGACTAACACTGCAAATGGACAATGAGTTGAATTCAGACTTTTAAACAGGAGAAAAGGAGCAGGCTAGATTACCTTCCGGAAATTGCAAAGCTCCTTTAATGACATCAAACTTTGAGAAACAAAGGTCTATTTTTTAAATACCAATATTCTACTTGCACTGCTGAGTGGCCACGAGTCATGAACAAGGTATCTAGTCCTAAGATTTAAAAATGAGTTATCACTCAGAGGGCAATGGAGAGAGATATATGGTGGGTGTGAGCAAGATGTAACATTTAACAAGGTGCTACAAAGTAGGTGGTGATCAAGAAATGTTATGATGGAAAGCTATTCACATGTCCCGAGCAAGGGAATACCAACAAGCTGTCTTTGTGTTCCACTGGTATATCTGGACAAAGTGAGGAAAGCTTTGGACAAAAGTCCCACAGGATTGGCAGGTTGTGATCTGCATTGTATAAAGCAAACTTCCACACTAATGAGATCACACATCCACTTCTGTGCTTGGTTATGTGTTGCTGAAAATATAGATGTACTACTTCCTATTGAGTATGTATCATTGAGCTGCTAAAACCACCACTACCACCACCCTCACCACCACTACCACCAATAACACCCTGTATGTTCCTCTTGTTCAAGGCTGAAAAAATCATGCCCCTGAATTCATGAAAATAAACATAGGTTAGATCAAGTAGGTCAATCACTTCACTTAGCAACCAAGGAAAAGTATTGTTTTCCCCCACCTCCACCTCCTACATTTTTTTTGTAGACCCATTCACCTCTTCTGAGTATAAGGGAACCTAATCTCTTATTCATTTTTCACTTCTGTTTCTCCCTAGAAAGTGTTTTTTTTTCTTAATTTTAGGACCCAAGTTTCTCCAAATCAAGCAACTGTCTATCTGCTGTGTTCTTATAATTGATTTAGAATTGGAAGGGACCTTAGAGGCCTAGAGTCCTACTCTTTTGCAGAGTAGGAAACTGAGTCACTTGGCTAGGCTTACACAGTTAATTAGTGTCTTTTCTGGAGTTACCTGTATTTTATGGTCAAAATGTCATTCTGAGGTGGGGAAGGGGGAGGAGTTTGGCTGAGACTGACAATGCAAATTTGCTGCTTTGAGAAGGGAAAAGGGGGTTTTCTGAAGATCATTTTGAACATCTGCAATTGCTTTTTTTCTCTACCATATTCCCTAGGATAGAGGTTTTCTGCCTCTGTTTCAGGGCCGCTGGAACATTTAGGATTTGTTATTTTTTGGGACGAGGGGAGTACTTTACCCTTCCTACTTGGCTCTTCACATGTCTCTGGGTGACATGGAGGTGCATTCGGACAAGGTAGTTTGGACCCTCCCCTCAATCCTTTTTCCCCCACCGGTCACGTTTTCCATGAAGGGGGTGGGAGGAGTGGTAAAGAAAAGGCCAAAGCGGATTGGGAAGGGGAAGAACAGGACAAAGCTATCCCACAGCCTGATAGTTATGTCAGTTGCTGACAACGGAAGAGGGTGCAGACCGGGTCTTAATAACTGTGCCCCGCTCTTGGCTGGCCTGCTATAAATAGATGGCCCGGTACAATCTGTGCAATCAGACCTCCCTCTGAGAGTCAGCAAAGTGCATACATACACACACGCGCTCCCAAACCCGCGACGGCCCAGATTCTAATCCTGGCTGGCCAGCTGCTTAGATAGAACGCTGGCTGCGGCCATCTCTCCAGGGCGTGCTGTCCTCCTCCCCTGGGCCAGCAAGCTAGGGGCCGGGTGGGGAAGAAAAGATGGTGAAACGGGGTGGGGAAGAAAAGATGGTGAAACGGGATGGAGAAAAAGCAAGTGGCTCTCCAGGAGGGTTAGGTCGGGAACGGCCCACTGTCTCTCCATCACCCCTCCCCTGTCAATCTACTCCCACCTGCCCTCGGCGGCCTTAAGAGTTTGCAGCTCCTTTTGCCCAGCCAAAGAGTCGACTCTCTTCCTGGGCCCCGGGGGCACCGTAGCCCAGGACGGGGCTGGCCGAGAGGAGAAGGAGGCCGAGGCGATGCACCCGCCAGACCCGCACTGCAGCAGCTGTTTCCTGCATGTGACGGGCCCGGGACGTTGTCCTGCCGCCTGGGGAAAAAGTCACAAGGTTGAGTGGCGGAGGCCACCAGGGCTGCTTCCGTCCCCCAGGCGCATCTCTCTGCTTTCTTTCCTGCCTCCCTTCCTCAAGCCTCGGCTACCCCGCGCTCTCCAGATTACAAAGAGGAAACGCGAGCTCTGTACACACATCTCCTCCCCCTCCCTCTCCCTCCCTCCTCCTCCCTTTCCCTCTTCCTCCGCCTCCCCAGGGCCCCCGCCCGGCGGCTGCCACTGCTTCCCAGACGGGTGCCTGTTGCTGCTGCTGCTGCTGCTGTTACTGCTGCTGCTGTTGCTGCCGCTGCAGCCGCCGGCGGCAGAATTGATTGCATCGTAAGAGGAGCAGGAGGACGCAGAGGGGCTCGAGAGCGGAGTGGAGCCTGCCCCGCAGGATGGGCAGAAAGCTCGAGCCCTCCTCTCTTCCCTTCTCGCCTGGAGCTGGTCCACGGGGGCTGTCGCGGGGAACCTGCCCGACTCTAGTCCTGCTCCTGTCTCTGAGCCGCGCGGGGGAAGGCAGCAGGTAGGCAGGAGTCCAGGGCTGGGGGTGGGGGGATTTACGCAAGAACCCTTTTACCTTCTCCTCCTACTCCCTCCTCCGCTTCGACCTTCCCTCCTTTATCACTGAACAGCCTGACCTCTCAGCCCCCTTCCCCGGAGCTCTTTGGCCGGAGGTTTTTGGAAAAAACTGTGAACAGGATGGGCCAGCCAGTGGTGTTTCGGTCTCCGGCTCCCAGTGGGTTCCAGAGCAGCAGGAAGTTAATTTGCCGCCTTCGGATGCGCCTGCCTGCCTGCCTGCCTGCCTGCCTGCCTGCCCAGCCCCAGGCCACTTTGATGAAAGCGAAACTGTCACGTACGGAACGATCCAGCCGGCGGCTCCTCCTCGCTCTTTTATCCCTTCTTCCCTGCCTGGTCCTACCAAATGCTTTCTCAGTTTTTGCACCGTTTCAACTTATCCAGTTACTGGCACAGTACTTTAAGATTCATGTCTTCCTTCTCTTTCCATTTTCCCAAATATCTTCCTTGGCATCACGTTTTTACAACTTGCTAAAAATTGGGAATGGGGGAGGGGGCAAAGTAAAATCTGGCCAACCTTTAAAAGTTAAATGTTAAGGAATGAATATCCTCATCTTCAAACAGCTCCTACTATGTGACGTTGTGGTTTAATTGTTAAAAGCCTCTTCCTGCTCAGCATGTGACTATGAGCTAGCTACAAAATCTGAAGATTCAATGATATTTTTAATCCATTGAAGGTATCACTATGTCTCACTAATTGAGGTTTTTTCCTATGGTAGTGTAGTTACTAATGTGAAAGCGTCTCGTTCTCTGCAAGAATTATTTTTTTAAAGGAATTTGAATGGGATGATAGTCATTCCCAATTCATTACTGAAAAAAATTTTAAGTACTTCTCAAATTTTCTGATTTAAATGGGCCGCAAAGAAACTGAGCTTTCCCTACCCTTTTAAGAATTCCTGCATGTTACCTGAGGAAAGAGCTCTTGAATGCAACTTTCTTTGTAAAGATCCAGGGTTTTGAGAGTTGACATTTAGTGTGTTGAAGAAATGCAAACTAATATGAATTTGACAATGGCTACATATTTTTTGTTCTCTTTTATAAATAATGTGAGTGATGTGCGATAAGATTGTACAAGTGTAGTGGTAATAATTTTTTTGGAGGGTGTTGAATGTCAGGCTAAGAATTCATATAAAAATACATGTTATATAATCAAAATTACTTATTTTGTCTTTTGTGGTCTCTATCTCTTGATTGATTTTGCATTCTCTGCATAATGATAGTTGTGAAACATGCCTACCCCCATTCTTCTCTCTCCATCTTTAAAATAATGTCACTTTTTAAAGTTTAAGTTACTTATTCATCATGATATCTGGTGTAATATGCTGCTGTAAAACTATTTTTTGCCAAAGTGCTCTCATTTACCCTGAAAATCTTGTTTGACTAGAGAGTCATTCCCTAGTAGTTTGTGTTCTTGAGTTTATCTGTCCCTGGGCTATTGTATTCATTTGCTTCCAGGTATTTCTGATGTGGTTTGTTCTGCTGGCTTACATGTAAAAATAGATATTTAACAATTATTTCAAGTTGAATTTCAAAAGTAATTTCATTTCCTCATTTTTAAACAGAATCAAAGGACGTATGCTTATTTTGTATTATGTATTCATAGTACAACAGAGACCTGCACAGTTAAAAAAAAAACAAAACCCTAGCAATTTGTCACCTGTAGGTAACTCCAGAGGTTGAACAGTGTGATTTTCAACATGAATGATATCAACACTGTATGGTTCTAGCGGTTGTAAAGGCTCCCCAAGGGTTTCTGTATCATCATATGAATGGGAACTGTTGGAACCCCATTTTTGTGAAGTGACACACTTTATAAATATAAAATAATCTGAAAATGCTCCATAACTGAGACAGAAAGCTTGAATGTGACCTAAGGTAGGGGATGAAGTGAAATAAAAAATGTTAGAGATTTCCCCAGTCAATTGCAAACTAATTACATTTTTTTAAAAATCAGAAGTGAAAGTTTAAATTCTAGGGTTCTAAGATTTGCAAATGGGAACACCTAAAACCTAATGCCCTATCCCTATTGCACCTTTGGGTCTCCCTTCTTTCACAGGGTGCCAAGAATTTCATAGCTTGACTGGATTTTGGCTACACCTCCGGTGCCCTTTGTAATAGTTTACCATATTTGTCACACTACCCTATAGGGTCAGGGGAGGAAATGGGCCACACTGAAAGATTGCCTTTCTCTCCACTCTAGCCCTAATGTTCAGCACCTAGCAAACCACTTCAGAGAGAAAAGTTGAAATTCCCCTAATGTGGTCAACGGTCAATCCCTGTATTGGACCATTCAACTATGAGTTGTAACCTTAACCTCTCTTTATTGTATCCATCAGTGATGTATTGAGCATACACCACCAATGAATGTGGAATGCTGGTTCTCATATGTGGGAGAGAGTTGTTAGGCCCTTTGTCCGTCTCCTGTGAGATGTAGCATGGTGTAGTAAATAAGGGTACTAGGCTTAGAGTCAAGAAGACCTCAGATTCTTCTCTAGCTGTGTGACCATAGGTAAATCACTTAAATTCTCAGACCCTCAGTTTCCTAATCTGTGAAAGGGGGACAATAAAACCTTCTCTACCACATAGTGTGAGAATCAAATGAGGCAATATATGTTTTAAAACATATACATGAGTTTTAAAGCTCTTATCAGTGTCAGTTTCATTATATGCCTTTTTTTCTTCCAGCTGATTCCCCTGTGTGTTGAAGGTAGAAAAAGGAGGTAGGAAAATAGCAAAAGGACATGAAAAGTCTTGTTGGGCATCTAATTGCAGTGCACATCTTTCCTTGAACCTCCATCTTTCCACTTCACAGTAATTCAGTCTCAAATCTCCCAACATTTTTAGAATCTCCACTTCTGCCCTGGCCTTTTAAGTGTCTGAATGACCCCAACATAGAAATTATCCATTTGTCAGATTGAAAAAAGTTTTCCTGACCATGGATGCCTCTGTCCCTTCCTCCTTGACCTTCTCAGGTTGAGTGTCTTGTTTAGACCAATACTTGGTCATGTTTCTCTACTTTACTTTTTCTTCTCTTCAGTCAGTGATCATGAAAAACATAGAGAAGTGAATTCTGCGTATTAACAGGTTTTTGTGACTTAAGTTAAGCTTCTTATTATTCAGTCATGTCTGACTCTTCGTAACATGACAATGCTGTCCATGGGGTTTTCTTGGTAAAGATACTGGAATGGTTTGCCATTAGGCTAAGTGACTTGCCCAGAATCATATAACTAGTAAGTGTCTGAGGTTAGATCTGAACTCAGGTCTTCCTGATTCCAGGCTCAGTGCTCTATCCACTGAGCCGTTTAGCTGCCTCTGCTTAATGTCCAGGGGAAGTGTAGGGAGACCGTAGCTCTCTGATATGACAATAATAATCATAGCTCATATTTATATGATGTATTTAAAGTTTGCAAAGCACTATACATATATTATCTCATCTGATCTTCCTCAAACTGTGAGGGAGGTACTATTATATATAATCCCCATTTTACAGATGAGGAAACTGAGCTTCAGAGAGTAAGAGATGTCCACATTCACACAGCCAGCAGGCGTCTGAGGCAGGATGCATATCCAGGCCTTTCTGGACTCAAGTCCATCACTCTCCATTGTGTCAGATTCCTTCTCCAGACAGAGACATTTGGGCTTTCAGTATGGAGCTACTCAGATGAGATTGGCTAAGGTACTGCTCCTTGATTATAATAATAGCATTAAGAGCTAGAATGGACCTGATTGGTCATTTAGTCCAACCTCTTCATCTTTCTGATGAAGAAATGAAGGTCTAGTCCAAAGTCACAGGGCTGATAGGAGCAGATGGCTGTTTCCCTGACACCACCTGCAGTACTCTGTCTACTCTATCGTGTTGCCCTATTTAGGCTACCCTTTAGATCTGGCACACATCTTCACAAAGAAGTTACTTGTTTATCCTTTAAAACATATTTTGGAATCCATGAAAGTTTGTACTTTCCAGCTGCCATGACATTTCAAAGCCCAAGTTTCCATTTCAAAGGTCTTTAAATTTAAGGGCAAGATTTCAAAAAATGAATCAATCAAAAAGCATTTATTAAACACTTGCTCTGTGCCAGTTACTATGCTAGGCATTGGGGATGCAAAGACCAAAATTAACTAGTCCTTCCCTTCAAGGAATTTGCATTCTAAAGAGGGAGATAACTTGTACATCTATAAGTATATATGGAACAGATCCAAGGCAGATCTGAGGTACCCTGGGCCGGGGGGACTGAAGGTAGGCCAAGTGGCACTAGCAGCTGGGGGACCAGGAAAGTCCTCATGAGTAAATTCCATTTGAGTTGAATCTCTCAGGAATTCCACTAGGTGGAAGTGAGGAAAGAGAGTATTCTAGGTTCAAGGTTCAAGGAGGTGGAGTGTTGTATAGAAGAAATCTGCAGAAGAACAGTATGGCAGGATAGCAGAGTGAAAGAAAGTGTGTAAAAAGCAGAAGGGTGAGGCCAGGATGGCCTCAGGTTGTAAAGAGCCTTAAATGATGCATGGATGAATTTATATTTGATCCTAGTGGAAATAGGGAACCACTGGAATTTATTGTGAGGTGGGATGACATGATCAAACTTGTGCTTTAGGAAAATCTGATGATTTATGGAAGATGGATTGGAGTGGGGAGAGACTTGAGATAGAGAGATCAATTAGGAAGCTGTTGGAGTAGTCCAGGTCAGAGGGGATGGCCTACTAGACTAGGGTGGTAGTTTTTTGAGTGGAGAAAAGGGACATGTAGAAGAGATACTATCAGGATAAAAGTGACAAGATTTGACAACTAGTTGGATGTATGAATTGAGTGAAAACAAGTAACCAAGGATGATGCTGAGTTTAGAAACACTGGTGGCTAGAAGTAAGGTGGTACCCTGGACAAAAATAGGGAGGTTGGGAAGAATATTTGATTGGGGAGGGGGCAGAGAAAGGTAATGAGCATCCTGTTTTGGA